TCTCAGTTTCCACGAAATAATCAAGAGGATATGGTTGATAATTAGAGTTGCTGGCGACACAGCGATTCTAGGAAAATCGCAGTCAAGGCATTATAAAACTACTAATTTATTGTTAATTGAGGCGACTTTCGGGTTGTTCAAAGATGGGAAAGTGTACGGTGACCTTTTAAAGGCCAAACGAGACAGTTTTATAGCGAGATGTCAAATTGAGGGCGCTTATTTATAGAAGGTAATCTTCGTGATCTACCTATAAAAGGAGTGACGCCCTCTAGCGATGCTGACATTTACGGCTGTGCTTTTGATACACGTGAAAATCGTACGGTAAGGCTTCAATTAATTCCAACAGTGTTATTTACGAGCATGACTTGCCCCGGAACTCGTCCGCAGGATTGCGCTTTTGTGACGTCACGCAATTTAATTGATAACAAATCGCGCAAATATTTTATCAAGAATTGTGCGTGAGAATTAAGGAATGCGATAAGATTTTCTTTTTTTACTTTCGATATCTCCCACAGTAAGCAAAAAATGCATTCGGAGTAGCTCATGCACTGTTATCTGTTAATTGTTAGCCGTTTAGCACAAACGTGTTAACTGAAGGCTTTTTTCCGGTAAACAGCATTTAGAGCAAATTAGACACGTGTTGATTCATATTACGTATTAATGATTTAAACATCTGTAGATTTACCCAGTTTTTATACGTCGACGTTATTCGAACACTTCCTGAAACTGTTTACTCCCAGTCGACGCTGGAAAAAACAAATTAAGATGCTGTGTTGAGCTTTTCTGTCTTCAGCGCGCCGTTTATTTACAGGCAGATGGTGCTCGACAACAGAGCGCGGGAACTTCAACTCTGATCCAGGTCGGGCGTTCACTAATACGACACCGTAAAGGTCGTATATAAACTTGTCGCTGACGTTGGGTTTTCAACCAATCAAATTGCGGTAGTCTGCAGTGCTGCCAACTTGAAGGAAAATCCCGACATTGTTCTGGTTGACAGCACTAATTCCACGAAATCAATTTTGATAAAGATAATGAGGTCCACTAATGTTTAGCCATTTAATGACCTGTTCACCGAAACCCTCATATTTTAAATAGCTGCCATCATTTTCCCCACTGTAGTTTTCTCTCAGTACTTACGCGTTGTTAAAGATAGTTCTCGACGTTTAAATCAACAAATTATATTATAACTACCAGGACTTACATTTTGCTGTTTTTTTTAATATGTCGTATTTTTTTTTTTCATAACAAGAAAGGTAAAACGTATTTAAAATGGTAAATTTTGGTTGGACAGTATCGATTTTGCAATTAGGCTCCGCCCCTCGGTCTGACAACGAATCACAATTGAACTTTGGATGTATATGGGTGGGGCTTAATTTTCGGCTTGTTTTTTTCTTAATATACATAGTATTCTTTGAACAACACGATACTCAAGAACATGTTTTTTAATTCTTGTAGACAAATAAGGATTTTGCAATTCACTTCCGCCCCTCGGCTTACGACGAATAAAATAAAAATCATCACAACTGAGATGGGGTGGGTGGGCGGGGCTTATATTTTGCCTTTTTTTCTTGATGTACATAGCCATCTTTTCACAACAAGAAACTTAAAACATGGTTAAAATGGTACATTTTTGCAAGGAAATATGGATTTTGCAATTATGGGGCAGAGCCTAATTGCAAAATCCATGTTTCCTTATACAAATTTTCCATTACCATGTTTTAAGTTTCATGTTGTGAAAATAAATCTACAAATATTAAAACGAAAAGGCAAAATGTAAGCCCACCCTGTCTTGTGATGATTTTTTTAATTTGCCGTGAACCAAGAGGGCGGAGTTTAACTGCAAAACACATATTTCTTTATAAAAAATTAAAAACATGTTTTTGGATATCGTGTTGTTCAAAAAATACCATGTATATTAAGAAAAAAGGGCAAAATATAAACCCCGCCCACCCACCCCATCTCAATTGTGATGATTTTTTTATTCAATGGCCTTTTTTTGTAAGGAAATATGGATTTTGCAATTAGACTCCGTCCCTAGGTTTGCCAACCAATGAAACCTTCATTATTATTTAGATCAGGGCAGGTCTGGGTGGGGCTTAATATTTGGCTTTGATTTTTCCTTAATATACATAGTATGCTTTGAACAATACGATACCCAAGAACATGTTTTTAATTTTTCGCTGAGAAATACGAATTTTGCAGTAAGCTCCTCCCCGTTGACTGACGACGAATATAAAAAAAAATCATCACAATTGAGATAGGGCGGGTGGGCGGGCTGACATTTTGCCTTTTTTTTTCTTAATATGTGCACTTATTTCTACAACAAGAAACATAAAACATGTCTAAAATGGTAAATTTTTGCAAGGAAATATGAATTTTGCAATTATGGGGCGGAGCCGAATTACCAAATCCATATTTCCTTATACAAATTTTCCATTTTAAACATGTTTTAAGTTTCATGTTGTGCAAAGACGTCTACACATATTAAAACGAAAAGACAAAATGTCAGCCCGCCCACCCGCCCTATCTCAATTGTGATGATTTTTTTAATTCGCTGTGAACCAAGAGGGCGGAGCTTAACTGCAAAATCCTTGTTTCTCTACGAGAAATTAAAAACATGTTTTTGAGTATCGTGTTGTTTAAAGAATACTATGTTATTAAGAAAAAATGCCAAAATATAAACCCCGCCCACCCACCCCATCTCAATTGTGATGATTTTTTTAATTCGCCGTGAACCAAGAGGACGGAGCTTAACTGCAAAATACTTATTTCTTTACAAGAAATTAAAACTATGTTTTTGAATATTGTGTTGTTCAAAGAATACCATGTAGATTAAGAAAAACAGGCAGAATAAAAACCCCGCCCACCCACCCCATCTCATTTGTGATGATTTCTTTTTTCTTAGAAACTTAAAACACGTTTAAAATGGTATTTTTTTTATATATAAGGAAATATGGATTTTGCAATTACACTCCGTTCCTAGGTTTGTCAACCAATGAAACCTTCATTATTATTTAGGTCAGGCCAGGTATGGGTGGGGCTTCATATTTGGCTTTAATTTTTTCTTAATATACATAGTATGCCTTGAACAATACGATATCCAAGAACATGTTTTTAATTTCTCGATGAGAAATACGAATTTTGCAGTTAAGCTCCTCCCCCTTGGCTGACGACGAATATAAAAAAAATCGTCACATTTGAGATGGGTGGGTGGGCGGGGCTTAAATTTTCCTTTTTTTTTTCTTAATATGTGTAGACTTATTTCGACAACAAGAAACTTAAAACATATCCAAAATAGTAAATTTTTGCAAACAAATGGGGCGGAGCTTAATTGCAAAATCCATATTTCCTTATACAAATTTTCCATTTTAAACATGTTTTAAATTTCATGTTGTGAAAAGAAATCTACACACACTAAAACAAAAAGGCAAAATATAAGCCCGCCCACCCGCCCTATCTCAATTGTGATGATTTTTTTTATTCGCCGTGAATCAAGGAGGTGAAGCTTAACTGCAAAATAATTATTTCTTTAAGAGAAATTAAAATCATGTTTTTGAGTATCGTGTTCAAAGAATACTATGTATATTAAGAAAAAAAGGCAAAATATTAACCCTGCCCACCCACCCCATCTCAATTTTGATGATTTTTTTATTCTCAGAAATTTAAAACTTGCTTGAAATGGTAAAGTCTTGTAGATATATATGGACCTTTCAATTAAGCCCCGCCCCTCGATTTGACAACGAATCACAATTGAACTTTGAATGTATATGGGTGGGGCTTAATTTTTGGCTTGTTTTTTTCTTAATATACATAGTATTCTTTGAACAACACGGTACTCAACATGTTTTTTAATTCTTGTAGACAAATAAGGATTTTGCATTTCACTTTCGCCCCTCGGCTTACGACGAATAAAATAAAAATTATCACAATTGAGACGGGGTGGGTGGGTGGGGCTTATATTTTGCCCGTTTTTTTTCTTAATATACATAGCCATCTTTTCACAACAAGAAACTTAAAACATGGTTAAAATGGTACATTTTTGCAAGGTAACATGTTTTAAGTTTCATGTTGTGAAAAGAAGTCTACAAATATTAAAACGAAAAGGCAAAATGAAAGCCCACCCACCCGCCCTATCTCAATTGTGATGATTTTTAATTGGCCGTGAACCAAGAGGGCGGAGATTAACTGCAGATTACTTATTTCTTCAAAAGAAATTAAAAACATGTTCTTGAGTAACGTGTTCAAAGAATACTATGGACATTTAGAAAAAAAAGGCAAAATATTAACCCCGCCCACCCCATCTCAATTGTGATGATTTTTTATTTTCGGAAATTTAAAACTTGCTCAAAATGATAAATTCGTGTAGATAAATATGGATCTTTCAATTAAGCCCCGCCCCTCGATTTGACAACGAATGAAAAATTCGTCACAATTGAGAATTGAGATAGGGGCGGATCTGAATCTTTGGCTTTATTTATTTCTTATACTCAAATATACTCGATACTTAAAACATATTTTTAATTTCTTGTAAAGAAATAACGATTTTGCAGTTAAGCTCCACCCTCTTGGCTGACGACGAATAAAAAAAATCATCACATTTGAAATGGGTGGGTGGGCGGGGCTTAAATTTTGCTGTTTTTTTCTAAATATGTGTAGACTTATTTCGACAACAAGAAACTTAAAACATGTGTAAAATTGTAAATGTTTATAGTAATCAACTTAAATCCTCCACTTTTTTTTCTACAACCCCTTTCAATATGGCAAAAGTTGAGTTTATAAAAAAATTCTCTTATGAGTTAAAGCGAGGGATTAAGGCACTCCAGGTACCAGTGTAACGAGATATGACTCTGGACCGGAGTTAATCGCCCGTGGAGGGAACGAAATCTTGTTGATAAAGTATGAAATTGAAAAATTGGTGCCCGAGCGGTATTTTCCAAATATGTATGATATTATTTGAAGGTGTTTTTCCGATGAACTGACGTTTTTTTTTGTTGTTTTAGACCGAAGACTGACCGGGCATGGCATATGCCTGCAATGTTAGGCTGTAGCACCGCATGCCCCAATTGCAAGCACCAGTTCACGTGCTGCGCCCCGGTGCCGCCATGCTGCGCCTCCCGGAGGTCCGTGGCCCTGTCCGGCGGCGGCATCATGGCCGCGCTGCCGCCATGTCCGTCCCCGCAGGTGTCGCCCAGCGAGCCGCTCGCCTTCGTCCTGCCGCCGCTCGCTGTTGCCCCGCCGCCGCCCGCTGCCGGCCCCGAGACGGAGCTGGCTCGGCTCGCGGCCACCGTCAGGGCTCTGGACCTATCCGGCTGGTACTACGAGGCCCTCACGCACGACCGCAGCGACGAGCTGCTAAAAGACACTAAAGTGGGGACGTTCCTGGTGCGTAACTCGGCCGACCCGCGCTACACGTTCACGTTGAGTGTGCAGACGGACGGGGGCCCCAAGTCCGTCAGACTGTTGTTCGCCAACGGGTGCTTCCGGCTGCACGCGCAGCCGCACCTGCAGGCCGCGATGCCGCTGTTCCCCGGGGTGCTGGAGCTGGTGCAGCACTACGCGCGCCGGAAGAAGGACGCGCAGGTGTGGGTGGACCCGCAGGGCAAGTGCATGAGCTCGATGCTGCTGGACCGGCCGCTGCGCAAGGCGGGGCGGCCGCCCTCGCTCAAGCACCTGGCGCGGCTGGCCATCAACAGGCACCTGGGGGACGCGTCCAAAGTGCGGATCGTGAGGCTGGAACTGCCGACGTCGCTCTCGGCGTACTTGACGGAGTACCCGTACTCCCTCTAGTGGCACCAAAGACTGGTCGGTACCTTCTACATACCGACGTTCAGGGAACACCATTCAAGTATTCTAAACGCGTAGATAGGGTAACTAATTAGTATCTCTGATCGATACTGGCAGGTTCTGTTTGTTAATCGAAGCGACTCGACGGATGCGTGTAAGCCATATTGGCTGCGTAGCGGAATTGTTATATAAGAATATTTTGTTATATATTTTTGTAAAAAAAAAAAACTGAAAAGTGGCAAGCCGCGCCAAAAAAAAACTATATGTAATCCTATTTATTTCCTATAGCTCTAAGCATCGTCACATTATCCACAATTTCTATTGTACTTTCTTTGTAATCTAAATATGTTTTGTACGAGACCTGGGGTCGGACGAATCGTATATATGAACAATCGGTGGCCTAACGCCGACCCTGGACGATCATCCGTTTAGAATAGTGAAACTAGTCTTGATCGTTTCGCGTCACACAACAAAGCAGTCATTGTTTTAGTTTTTTTAACATGCAAGTTTGAGATTAACAAGCAGGATGATAACGTTGTACTCTGAATTCTGAATGTATTTATATTTTGATGTAAACATGAAAAGAATGACTCGAGTGTTTGTATGTGTTTTAGTTAATTGAAAGATTGTATTTATTTCTCTAGGAAATTATTAAATTATTTATTATTAAATTTGTGGTTTTTATTTCACACCGCACCAAGTCTACGAAGAACTGTTTGCTCTAAATGTCAATACGTAACATAACTGGGTGAATTTTAGACGTGTATTGTGGGTTGCCGCACATCCAAGGCTCATTAAATACAATTTTAGATAATTTTTAATTATTTCAATGTAAATGCTGCTACAAAATACAAATTCCAGAATGGGGGTGGGTGGGCGGGGCCACATTTGATTTTGTTTTAAGTCAATTCCCATTTTATAGTAAATAAAATAAGCCAGTGAAATTCTATAGCCTTATAAACAAGCTATAACCCCGCCCACCCACCCATTCTTAATTCCAATAATCACTCTTAATATTGTTAATTAATAACATAATTTTTTGTTGCAATTTTAAACAAATTTTTTAAACTGTTGGTGAGAAAATGGACAAATTGTTAAAAAAGGTATATGGAAAGAATTAACCTAGGGTTAAATACACATACCAGACGTGAGAATAATTTTTAAAAATCAGTATTACCGATGTTCCGCCTACTTTTGACTTTGTTTTAAGTCTTGTCAAATTAAAATTCAGTTCCCATTTTATAGTAAATAAAATAAGCTAGTAAAATGGAAAAAGAGACGGGTGGAGCTAAATTTAGTTGTTTCTACAGTCTCATCAACAAGCAATAACCCCGCCCACCCACCCTCCCTTGATTCTAATGATCACTCTTAATATTGTTAATTATAACAAATTTATTTTCTCCTTACAATCTTAAGCAAATTTGTTCAACTGTTGGTGAGAAAATAGACAAATTGTTAAAAAAGATGTATAGAAATAATTAAGCTGGTGTTAAATACGCATACCAGACGTGAAAACCAGTTTTAAAAAGCGTTATTACCGATGCTCCTTCCACTTGGTGAAGCTCCACCTTAAATCATTTCATTGGTCCGGAGAAAAGAAGCAGGGTTTAGTAACGTACCTCACAATGTTAACTTTACATTACTTTTTACTATTTAACCGTAAACTCTGACGGTAGTCGTTTTTTGAATAAAAATTAAAATCTAGTAAAAAATAAAATTTTATGTAATTCTACATTCCAACTATTATTTGTCAATATAAAATCCAATTTCCGTCTTCGAACCAATAAAATGAGTGATCAAAACGGAATAGGGGTGGGTGGGCGGGGCCACTTTTTATTTTGTTTTAAATCTTGTCCAATTAGAATTCAATTCCCATTTAAATGTAAATAAATTAAGTCAGTGAAATGGAAAAAGAGAGGGGTGGAGCTAAGTTTAGTTGTTTCTACAGTCTTATAAGCAAGCAATAACCCCGCCCACCCACCCCTTCTTAATTCTAATGATCACTCTTAATATTGTTAATTATTAACATTATTTTTTATTGCAATCTTAAGCCAATTTCTTAAACCGTTGGTGAGAAAATAGACAGATTGTTAAAAAAGGTATATAGAAAGGATTAAGCTAGGGTTAAATACGCATACCCAGACGTGAGAATCCGTTTTAAAAAGCAGTATGACCGATGCTCCTCCCACTTGGTGAAGCTCCGCCTTAATAAATCATTTCATTGGTCCAGAGAAGAGGGGCGGGGTTTATAAATGCACTTCACAAAGTTAACTTTACATTACTTTTCTATTATTAAAGTGTAAACTCTGACGGCAGTCGTTTTTCGAATAAAAATTAAAATCTAGTAAAAAATAAAATTTTATTAAAAAAATGTGATTCTAGATTCTGTTATTTCTCAATATAAAATCCAACTCCCGTCTTCGAGCCAGTAAAATGAGTTATCACAACGGAATAGGGGTGGGTGGGCGGGTCCACTTTTGACTTTGTTTTAAGTCTTGTCAAATTAGAATTCAGTTCCCATTTTATAGTAAATAAAATAAGCTAGTAAAATGGAAAAAGAGATGGGTGGAGCTAAATTTAGTTGTTTCTACAGTCTTATCAACAAGCAATAACCCCGCCCACCCACCCTCCCTTGATTCTAATGATCACTCTTAATATTGTTAATTATAACAAATTTATTTTCTCCTTACAATCTTAAGCAAATTTGTTCAACTGTTGGTGAGAAAATAGACAAATTGTTAAAAAAGATGTATAGAAATAATTAACCAGGTGTTAAATACGCATACCAGACGTGAAAACCAGTTTTAAAAAGCATTATTACCGATGCTCTTCCCACTTGGTGAAGCTCCACCTTAAATCATTTCGATTTTCGAAAATTGTCCAGAGTCTGGTCAGGTGCATGAAATAATAAATGAATTTTATAGTAAATAGTATAATAAAAAAAATACGTTTAGCGCATTTTTTATTACATATAATTTTTTTCACATCCTAGATTCTATTAGTTTCCAATCCCACTCGACAAATGAACATAATTAGCCCCGCCCACCCACCCTGCCTCCTTTTCAGAGACTGATTTTATCCAATGTGGATAAAATGAATGGTCTTAAACTGAACAGAAATAAAATTAGTCGTTAGAATAAGAGGGTGGGTGGGCGGGGCTAGTATTTGATACGATAAGACAGATTTTGGCACTTTTGCCATTTTCAATCATTTTTCGATTATTTTCGTAAATTATCCAGAGACTGGTCAGGTGCATGAAATAAAAAATAAATTTTGTAGCAAATAGTATAATATAAAAAAATTATGATTTGCTATTTTTTTTTTTAATTTTTTTCACATCCAAGAGTCTATTAGTTTCCATTACCTCTCGACAGAAGAACATGATTAGCCCCGCCCACCCACCCTGCCTCCTTTTCAGAGATTGATTTTATTCGATGTGAATAAAATGAATAGTCTTAAACTGAACAGAAATAAAATTAGTCGCTAGAATAAGAATAGGGTGGGTGGGGCTAGTGTTTGATAAGATAAGACTGATTTTGGCAAATGACAGATCCTCTAAAAACTTGGCACTTTTGACATTTTTCAACTATTTTCGAAAATTATCCGGAGTCTGGTCAGGTGCATGAAATAATAAATAAATTTTATAGTAAGTTGTATAATAAAAAAATACGTTTAGCGCTTTTTTTATTACATATTATTTTTTTCACATCCTAGATTCTATTAGTTTCCAATCCCACTCGACAAATGAACATAATTAGCCCCGCCCACCCACCCTGCCTCCTTTTCAGAGACTGATTTAATCCAATGTGGATAAAATGAATGGTCTTAAACTGAACAGAAATAAAATTAGTCGTTAGAATAAGAGGGTGGGTGGGCGAGGCTAGTATTTGATACGATAAGACAGATTTTGGCACTTTTGCCATTTTCAATCATTTTTCGATTATTTTCGTAAATTATCCAGAGCCTGGTCAGGTGCATGAAATAAAAAATAAATTTTGTAGCAAATAGTATAATATAAAAAAATTATGATTTGCTATTTTTTTTTTTAATTTTTTTCACATCCAAGAGTCTATTAGTTTCCATTACCTCTCGACAGAAGAACATGATTAGCCCCGCCCACCCACCCTGCCTCCTTTTCAGAGATTGATTTTATCCGATGTGAATAAAATGAATGGTCTTAAACTGAACAGAAATAAAATTAGTCGCTAGAATAAGAAGAGGGTGGGGGGCGGGGCTAGTATTTGCTAAGATTAGATTGATTTTGGCAAATGAGATATTTTGTAAGAAAGTAGTGGGTGGGAGGGCGGGGCTAGTATTTGTTAAGATAAGACGGATTTTGGCACTTTTGACATTTTCAATCATTTTTCGATTATTTTCGTTAATTATCCAGAGTCTGGTCAGGTGCAAGAAATAAAAAATAAATTTTGTAGCAAATAGTATAATATAAAAAAATTGGTCTAAAGAGTTTAGACAGTACTTCCCTCGCTGTCGGAAACGTGACGACTGAATGCCTATTATGTTTTTTTTTCGCAGTGGATTTCAAAGAATTCGGTTTTATAGTTCCTGAGTAAATCAATAAAATTAATTTACGCATTCATTAATTTTTTTGAGTCACCCTGTATATGCAAATCCTAAAAATATGAATGGAGTGATAAATTACAAGTACAGACTCATCATATTTTGTACAGTTTAGATAGGATTTATTCGGCAAACTTTTGAGCTGACGTCATCAATTTTTTGGAGGGGATAAGCAAATGTATTTTGACTAAACACTTATTATGCTCTTTATAACCTTAAAACATCTTCAAGATTTCAAAGCATTCGGTTTTGTAGTTCCTGAGTAAATCAGTAAAATAAATTTACGCTTTCATTAATTTTTTTGAATCACCCTGTATATGCAAATCCAAAAAATATGGATGGAGTGATAGATCACAAGTACAGACTGATCATATTTTGTACATTTTAGATATGATTTATTCGGCAAACTTTCGAGCTGACGTCATCAAGTTTTAGGAGGGGATAAGCAAATATATTTTGACTAAACATTTATTATGCTCTTTATGACCTTAAAACATCTGCAAGATTTCAGAGCATTCGGTTTTGTAGTTCCTGATTAAATCAATAAAATATATTTACGCATTCATTAATTTTTTTGAGTCACCCTGTATATGCAAATCCAAAAAATATGAATGGAGTGATAAATTACAAGTACAGACTCATCATATTTTTACAGTTTAGATAGGATTTATTCGGCAAACTTTCGAGCTGACGTCATCAATTTTTTGGAGGGGATAAGCAAATATATTTTGACTAAACATTTATTATGCTCTTTATAACCTTAAAACATCTGCAAGATTTCAAAGCATTCAGTTTTGTAGTTTCTGAGTAAATCAGTAAAATATATTTACGCATTCATTAATTTTTTTGAGTCACCCTGTATATGCAAATCCAAAAAATATTAATGGAGTGATAGATCACAAGTACAGACTCATCATATTTTGTACATTTTAGATATGATTTATTCCACAAACTTTTGAGCTGACGTCATCAAGTTTTTGGAGGGGATAAGCAAATATTTTTTGACTAAAGATTTATGATGCTCTTTATAGCCTTAAAACATCTGCAACATTTCAAAGCATTCTGGTTAGCAGATTAAAAATTAAATTTCAAA